GTAGTTAAGGATGCTAGAGCACTGGGTATTATTCAAGGGGCAGTTTCGGACCAAATCTTCCCGAGGATTGCAACTCAGGAAAGTGCGAAGGCTGCGTGGGACATTCTGAAACAAGAGTTCGTTGGTGATAAACAAGTAAGATCTGTGAAACTTCAAGGCCTTAGGCGAGATTTTGAATATACTCGCATGAATGATAGTGAATCTCTTTCTGTGTATATTGCTAAGTTGTTTGATCTGATTAATCAAATGAAGAGCTATGGTGAAGATCTGAGTAATCAAAGAGTTGTTCAGAAATTGTTAATCAGTTTACCTAAGTCCTATGATAGTATTGCAGCAGTGATAGAGAATACTAAGGATTTAGACACCATAGATGCACAGGATGTAGTAGCTATCTTAAAAGGTTATGAACAAAGGTTGGATAGACATGGAGAGAGTAGTATGGAGAAAGCATTTGCCAGTTTGAAATTTGTCCCGAGGTCTAATAAATTCAATGGTCAGCCAAACAGTAACAAATATCACAAGAATTTTAAGCCAAAAGAGAAACAATGGAGTAACAAGGGTGATTGGAGCAATAAGGGTGGATTCACTGTGAAGAATGAGGCAAACAATACTGGAGATAAGTGTAAATTCTGTGATAAACTTCACTATGGAGAGTGTTGGGTTAAAAACAAAGTCAAGTGTCACAAGTGTAACAAAATTGGGCATATTGCAAGGTATTGTAATATGAACAAGACTGTGCAGCATGTGAACTTTGCTAATCAGGTTGAAGAAACTGGAAATTTGTTTTATGCAAATCATTCTGGAGAAGTGAGGAAGATAAGTGATGAATGGTATATAGATAGTGGATGTAGTAACCATATGACATCCAGAGAAGATCTACTTGTTGATATTGACAGGAAAGTGAAAGCAAAAGTCCAAGTTGGCACTGGAGTTTTGGTTGAAGTTGAAGGGAAGGGAACACTGATCATTGAAACTGTAAAGGGTCGAAGATATATAAAAGAAGTTATGCTTGTACCTGGTCTTACAGAAAATTTGTTAAGTGTGGGACAAATGACTGAGCACGGTTACTTTCTTTTATTTGGAGATTATAAAGTGGATGTGTTCGATGATAGATCGTTACAAAACCTGGTGGTCAGTGTGAAACAGAGAGGAAATAGATGTTTTCCTTTAATCCTCAACACAAACAAGGAGCTTGCATTGAGGACAAATGTGCAAGAGTGTGTTAGAATTTGGCACAAGAGGTTCGGTTATCTAAATTTCAGAAGTCTCAAACTATTACAGAGTCAAGAAATGGTTTTGGGGCTGCCTGAAATCCAAGACAGTGAAACTGTATGTCAAAGTTGTGCACTGGGGAAAAATCACAGGGAACCATTTCCCAAAGAATCAATGTGGAGAGCAAAGGAACCACTTGAACTAATACACTTGGATGTGTGTGGTCCTATGCAAACATCAAGTTTGAGTGGCAATCGATACTTTATTATCTTCATAGATGATTATTCAAGAATGTGTTGGGTATATTTCTTGAGAAACAAATCAGATGCCTTCTATGTGTTTAAGAAATTTAAAGCCATGGTTGAGCTTCAAAGTGGATATCATGTAAAGAAGCTAAGAACAGATAGAGGAGAAGAGTTCAACTCAAATGAGTTTGGAAAATTTTGTGAAGATTTGGGGATAGAAAGACAGCTCACAATTGCATACTCTCCTCAGCAGAATGGAGTAGCAGAAAGGAAAAACAGGACAATTGTGGAGATGGCAAAGTGCATGATCGTTGAGAAAGGACTTCCAAACAATCTCTGGTGTGAAGCAGTAAACACATCTGTGTATCTGCTTAACAGGAGTCCTACAAAAGCAGTGAAGAATACTACACCTTTTGAGAAATTCAGTGGAAGAAAACCTGGGGTTAAACACTTGAAGGTGTTTGGTTCAGTTTGCTATTCTCTTATTCCAGGGAATCTAAGACACAAATTAGAAGAAACAAGTGTCATGGGTGTTTTCATTGGATATGGTACCTGTGAAAAGGGGTATAGGGTACTGAATCCTTTAACTCAAAAGGTCTTGTTATCTAGAGATGTAATTTTTGATGAACATGGAAGATGGGACTGGGAGAAACACAAAGTCAAGGAAGTCTGTATTCCTTTATCTGCAGTTGAGTCTTCAGAGTTGGATAAAATTGATGAGATGTTTGAATCTCATGAACAAGAAGGATCTGATGGGTCTCAAATTCAAGCTGGAAGTTCTCCAGCTACTGCTATTGGTGAATCAAGTAGCTCACAGGTCTCTGCTCAGTATGATGATACTCCACTGAGGTATAGGAACTTGAGTGAGATCTATGAGAGATGTCACTTATGTATTGTTGAACCTGAATCCTTTGATGAAGCTGCACAGGATGAAGCTTGGAAAAAGGCAATGAAGGATGAAATGAATATGATCGAAAAAAATCAGACATGGGAGTTGGTGAGAAGACCCTCAGATAAGCCTGTGATTGGGGTGAAATGGGTGTATAAAACAAAGCTGAATTTGGATGGAACAGTTCAAAAGAACAAGGCTAGACTTGTTGCAAAAGGCTATGCACAAAAGCCCGGAATTGATTTTAATGAGACTTTTGCACTTGTTGCAAGATTAGACACAGTTAGAACTCTAATTGCACTGGCAGCAAAGAATAAATGGAAGTTATTTCAACTAGATGTGAAATCAGCTTTTCTGAATGGAGTATTAGAAGAGGAAGTATATGTTGAACAGCCAGATGGGTTTGTAGTGCAAGGAGAGGAAGAAAAGGTTTACAGATTACATAAAGCTTTGTATGGTCTAAAACAGGCACCTAGGGCCTGGTATGGTGAAATAGATTCATACCTTATGCTTTGTGGATTTAAGAAAAGCATCAGTGAGGCAACTCTGTACACCAAGTACAAGGGAGACACAGAATTGATCATAGTATCCATCTATGTTGATGATATTATATATACTGGAAATTGTCAAGAGTTAATGGATGTTTTCAAAGCTGAGATGATGTACAAGTATGAGATGACAGATCTTGGTCTCTTACACCATTTTCTTGGTATGGGGGTAATCCAAACTGAGGAGTGTATCTTCATTCATCAGAGGAATTATGCCTTATCTCTTCTGAAGAAGTTCGGACTACAGAATTGCAAATCAGTGAGTACTCCTTTGGTTCCAAGTGATAAACTGAGAAGAGAAGATGGAAGTGGAAATGCAGATGAAGCTCAGTATAGACAGATTGTAGGTAGTCTGCTGTATCTCACAGCAACTAGACCTGATATAATGTATGCTGCTTGTCTCTTAGCTCGGTTTATGCATTGTCCCACTAACAAGCACTATGGAATAGCAAAGAAAGTATTGAGATATGTTCAAGGAACTCTTGATTTTGGTTTGGAATACAAGAAAGGTGAAGGGACACTCTTAATGGGATACTGTGACAGTGACTGGAGTGGCTCAGAGGATGACATGAAAAGCACATCCGGGTATGCTTTTACTTTTGGAAATGGGATTTTCTCTTGGTCTTCAGTCAAGCAACAATGTGTTGCATTATCCACAGCCGAAGCAGAGTATATCAGTGCTTCTGAAGCAACAGCACAGGCTACTTGGTTGAGATTTGTTCTAGAGGATTTTGGTGAAATGCAAACAGTTGCAACACCAATGAATTGTGACAATACATCTGCCATAGCCATCACCAAGAATCCTATTTTTCATCAGAAGACCAAGCATATAAACCGAAGATATCACTTCATAAAGGAAGCATTACAGCAAGGAGTAATTGATTTGATTCACTGTCCTACTAAGGAGCAACTAGCTGATATCTTTACAAAAGCATTGGCAAGGGAGCAGTTCACTTACTTGAGAAATCTACTTGGAGTGAAATCAGTTCACAACTTAAAGGGGAGTGTTAGTATGTAAGTTGTTGAGCTGATTAGTAAACATTACAAGATTGTTATGTGTGTCATGGCTGAGCTATTGTGTTAAATTGTGATGTGTTGATTAAGTCTCATAGGGCTTATCATTTGACAAGTGTCTTGATCTTAAGATAGGTTGTAATGGTTGGTTGAGATTGAATTGAGGTTATGTCTCTCTCTCTCTCATCTTTGTCTTCAGTTAAAAATGTCTCTTCGAGTTGTTATGCTAAGAATGAAATACAATGATAGAAGTTAAAAGGTTATGCTCTGTGTGTGTGCTCTTTCTCTGATTTCATCTTCTAAACATTTCTAAACATCTCTCTCAAATCCTGTTAGACCTAATATAGTTGTGTTACTGGATTCTAACAGTTTCTGCATAGATGATTTTCCTGCATGATGCTGGCAAAGTTGGGAAAGTATTGACATTTGACAATGCTAGGACTGGCTGGTGGTGGAGCATTCTCGTTGAGAAGTGGTTCCACCTGGTTTGGATTCGACCAAACAGGGTATCCTTTAATTTTTCCCTAAATCATAATAATAAGGCATGTCAGTACTTTAGTGCCAAAGCTGCAGAAATTTTTTTGAATGATGTGAGCTATTTCGAATGCTGCGATTCTATTAATTTCTTTTCTGCCATTTTCCGATATTTAATTTGGTTGGAAACTCACCAATTGATGGAGTTAAGCTATATATGTTTTTATTTCTGGAAAGGTTCAGTCTTTAAGTGAAGGAAGCTAGTTGATACTTGATATGCAACAAGAAGAAATTGTTGTTGCTACCAACACTTAAGTTATCAGATAAAGTAGCCAGGGATTTAGGCATTTTCGTGTTTCGAACATTTCAAATTACATGTCACTGTACTTTAATTTTCCGTGGCCACAGCCTTCTATTGATCAGATGCATAAACAAGGGGATTCATCAACAGAAAACTATGAGAACAACTGGTTTCTTGAAATCAATTTCATATTCATAATTTCATATCATGAATGCTAACAAGGTAGTCATCCGTAAGCCCCGAGCATGTACGAAACAAACTATAATAGCAAAGTTTAAAGGTTATTTAGCTACATATATTGGCGGCCTGGCCTACAACTAGATAGGCTTACAGGGAGTGAGAGGCTTTCCGCATAAGCCTGTGTTTCCGGAGTAAGAACTCTTGGGAAAGTCACTGAGCGGTTTGCCCTCTGGAATTTTCCCCACGAGATGATTGTTTGATAAATTCAATACCTCCAGATTCCCCAGCTTCAGAAACTCGTCTGGAATTTTCCCCGAAAAGCGGTTTTGCTGCAACTCGAGCACCAGTAGCATGCTCAAGTTTCCCAGGGAGTCTGGGATTGCTCCTTCAAGCTTGTTGTTCGATAGGTCAACCTCTCGGAGCGAAATCAAATCTCCAAAGTTTGTTGGTATGCTTCCGGTGAGACTATTATTCGCGAGCAATAAAAGCTTGAGAGATGGCATTTTTAAAACTGGAATTGGCCCCTCAAAAAAGTTATTGTGCAACCATATAGTTACAACGGATGATAAATTGGCCATTGAAGGTGGAAGCTTCCCAGACAAAAGGTTTCTTGAAACATCAAAATCTAGCAAGGCCTGCAACTGACCAATTCTCTGCGGTATGTGACCGGTCAGAGAATTGTTACGAAGATCGAAGAGCACCAAATTTGTCAAATTTGTGACCGACTCAGGAATAGAACCCGAAAGCCGATTCGAGGCCAAATACAGCTGAAACAGATTCGTAAGACTCCCAAGACTTTGTGGAATCTCCCCAACAAGCCCAGGGTTGCCACCAATATAAAGGATTTGAAGGAAAGATATCAGAGTTATGGAAGCAGACAGAGAGCCTTCCAGGCGGGCTCCGGAACTCGAAGCTGGTAGATAGATTTCGGTAACTCTGCCGGTCCTGTTATCACAAGTTATTCCTTTCCACATGCAGCAACGGTGGCCAACCCACGATGCTAGGCGGTTGCCAATGTCGTTGTGGATGGCGGCTTTGAAATCAGTCAGCCCTTTCAGGTCCATCGGATTGCATGCGTTTCCCTCCGCCAGAACGGTTGAGAGGCTGATGAGCAGTACAAGTAGAAACTTGATCATCATTTTGCTAGTGCTCTTCGGCACCATCACCGCCCAAGAAAAATCAGCCAATTGTATAGCCATTTTAGCCTCCGACGACGAGTATTTCCGAGCTCTGATCAATTCAAACGAGGGTCGCAAATCTGAAGGCTCAATCTTTGGGCAACCCGTAGCTTTGACACTATCCTCAACTGCCACCACTGCTTCCAACCTACAGATCCTCACTGCTCTCACCCTCAGACTACAACAACTCTGCTCCGATTAAAAGAGAGGAGAAGAAATCATGTTTTCGCGGTTTGTTTCTGTGGAATTCTGAGGTCGCTCGGGAGTATTTATAGCCAAAAATTTATGCCCAAATTTTATAAATGTCAATTTTAAAACAAATTTCAAAACATAGCCAAAAACCACAAGGAATAGACTCAAATACCCTCAAAATTAAAAACAACATAAACCTAAAATCAGAACCCTACTAGATAAAAGTAGAGTAAATTGTAGCAATGGTCCCTGAACTTTACTCAAATTGGAGCAATGATCCCTCAACTAAAAATCCATTATCATTGGTCCCTCAACTTATCAAAATGTGTAGCTATAGTTCTTTTCATTAATTTCTTCAAAATTTTGTCAAAATATGTTATGTTGGAATAACCATTTATTTAATTAGGGTCTCTCAACTCATCAAAGTGTGTAATTATGGTCATTTTTGTCAACTACGTAAAAAATTTTGTCAAAACGAGTTGTGTTTGAAGGACCATAGCTACAATTGGGATAAAGTTAAGGGACTATTTCTCCAGTTGAATTAAAATTGAGGGACCAAAGGTAATGAATTTTTAGTTGAGGGACCATAACTGCACGTTTTAATGAGTTGAATGACCAATGGTAATGGATTTTTAGTTGAAGGACCATTGCTCCAATTTGAGTAAAGTTCAAGGACCATAGCTACAATTTACTCATAAAAGTATGGAAATTTCCGGTTCTGATAAAAGTATGGAAATTTCATAAGATATTTCCAGGTTTACTGTCGAGAAAAGTTGTTGCATGCAACTATATAAACCTATTAATTTAATTCTGCCATTTATAAAAGGGCAATGCAAGTCAGAAAAATCAGTTTTTCTTGATTTTAGTGAAAAAGTGAAGCTTCGTTTGATCCATCCTCGTTGATATCACATACAGAACAAATGAATTATAGTGATTATAATAATTTAAATTTCATGAAGTTGATTTAGGTGAGTGGAAAAGAAAATTAAGAAAATCTCAAAATCCATTAACAATTTCTACAACGAAAAGAAATAATCATTAGTGAAGAGCAAGCCAAAGAGCTCCATTGAACTCCTATGACCGACATGTATTGATTTACAAAATTGATTTTCCATGTATTTAAAAAAAAAAAACCAAAAAGTTAACTTAAGAATTAAATATTTGGTCAAAGTACATGACCACACCAAGTTGGGGAATAGTACCCTAATTTTTTCACCCTCCATGAACGAAATAATTTAGGCGCTAACTAATGTTGGTAAGTGTTTTTGACATTTTTATGGTGTTGAAACTTTCTTGGTGAAGTCCACTTTTCGATAGTCCAAGTCAGTTTTTTATGATGAGAAGTAGCTTGTGCACCTTTCGATAGTCCAAGGACTCAGGCATGTTGTAATTGGGAGTTAATTTTAGGGCATTTAAATCTATTCAAGTGTATTTTTAGCTATAACTGATAGTCTTAAAAAAATCTATAGTTTTTTTTTTCTTTGAAGAATTATTATTAATAAGTGAGATGGAGAGTTCGGAACTATTCCTATAATTTAAAGAATAAGAAGTTTCGATCTGGTGATGCATGGGTGAAGATCCAACACCCTATTTACTAAGATATTGAATCACGTACAACCCAATAAAACGTGTGAACACGATGGTATTCACCAAAGAAACAACCCTCCATCTGATAGCCTTGCTATTATTTTGCTTCCAATTAATCAGAAATTGCCAGAAACTTTTATTTTTTCTAGCAAACCAACAAAAGTGGTTTTATTTTGCACTCCTATTCTAATTAATCTAGCCATCTACTATTCTTTCACACACCCAGTTAAGGTTTGGAACCACTAAATATACCCATCTCCATGTGCTGTATTTTCTAATTAAAGTTTGAGATTATGAATATATACCAATCTACATTTGCTTTATTTCCTAATTAAAGTTTGAAATTACTAAAATCTTACATTTGGTTCATTTTCTCCTTCAACCTGCCGCACCCAAATAAAGTTAAAAACCACTAAATAAACCAGTAGTCTACATTTGGATGCCAAGAGACTTTTATTCTCTTTTCCAATCAAGGGTTCAGGGGTATGAAGACGGAGATGGGGGGAAATACGTAATGGGATCAATGGGATGGAAATGACATCCCCATCATCGCTTCAACTTATTGCCAAACATAGTTGAGTCTCTCTCACCAAAAATCAGTAAGATGCGTTTTTCAAATCGTCCTACGCACGACTTACAAATTTGTAATTTATTGTTTATTATTTGTATACACATTCTTATTTGTTACATCCACATATTGTTCCAACCAACATTTTAATCCAACTATGCAAGGCATGTTCAATAACGTACTGCACATTACAAATCCATAAACAGATGAAATCGATTAAATTTATTTAGAACCGGAATTTTAAGACATAAAAATTTACGCCCAAATTTTAAAATTAATCCATTTTATTATTAAAAAAAAACAAACGAAGTAATAAAGTTTGATCCTTCTCCTTATAGTGGATAAATGTCTCTATCTTGCAAGTGATCTTTTATAGTTTCTGCCATGTGATGGTTTCTATCTTGGTCTTTCAATTTGGTTGAAAGGAATCAAATAATTTGTAGCCAATTTTGGTTGAAAGGAATCAAATCATTTGTAGCCAATTTTTTTGATCTTTTATAGTTTCTGCCATGTGATGGTTTCTATCTTGGTCTTTCAATTTGGTTGAAAGGAATCAAATAATTTGTAGCCAATTTTGGTTGAAAGGAATCAAATCATTTGTAGCCAATTTTGATCTTTTATAGTTTCTGCCATGTGATGGTTTCTATCTTGGTCTTTCAATTTGGTTGAAAGGAATCAAATAATTTGTAGCCAATTTTGGTTGAAAGGAATCAAATCATTTGTAGCCAATTTAAAGAAACAAAAATGATGGTTTCTATCTTGAAAGCCTTCAAGTTGCATGCATCTGCATCGTTAGACAATTATTTTTTGCCGATTGCCGAATGAAGTTTTAAACAAGCAAACTGCAAATATAGCCAGCAATCCCAAAATGTTCTAATCTTGCATTTCTTTCTCTTGTCGTATAGTTTCTGCCATGTGATATGTGATAGTTTCTATCTTGTTCTTTCAATTTGGTTGAAAGGAATCAAATAATTTGTAGCCAAGTTTGGTTGAAAGTAATCAAATCATTTGTAGCCAATTTAAAGAAACAAAAATGATGGTTTCTATCTTGAAAGCCTTCAAGTTGCATGCATCTGCATCGTTAGACAATTATTTTTTGCCGATTTCCGAATGAAGTTTTAAACAAGCAAACTGCAAATATAGCCAGCAATCCCAAAATGTTCTAATCTTGCATTTCTTTCTCTTCCCGTTTCTGCCATTTGATAGCTCCAACTTACCTCCTTAATTAATTTAAGACTATAGCTACTAATACATATATATACATGTATATGTGTATGTATTTAAGGTGATAAAAAAAAATTTAACAAAACAAGGTTTCGGTTCGATTTAGTATTTGTTTTCCAGCTTATTGTTTTTGTAACGGTTAAAAGTATTTTAAAACAAAAAACTACATTCTGCATTGTTTGTAAAAGAAAATAAACATTAGAAATAGTTATGAATGATGCAAGCGCTCAAAATTTTAATAAGCATTTAGACATATTGGTAAGGAATATGATTTTCGCTCTCATTTTCTCCTCATAAATTATGTACTTGTTTTTGTTCATTTCCAATTATTGATTTGTTTAATCGCGTGACCAGAAATAAAAAGAAGAGTGTAAACAAATAAGAAATAAGTATGAAAATCAGTTTTCATTGACGAGTCTATAAAATGAAGTTCCAAACAAGCCCTTATATATTATAAATAACCTCAAGACTCACGTTTGGTGAAAACTGAAAAGAATAAAATGAATAAAGAAAGTTAGAACCCTCGTGGCTACGTCCTTTATGTTCTTCAAGACAAAATTGGTCAAAATCAAATCATAAAATAAGGGGATCGACTAATATTCAAATCGTATTAGCTCATAAATTTCCGTGTTACTTAATTCATTCAATTCATTCCTAATATGATAAACTAATGAAAATATGTGCGTCTTTTTTCTCTAATTGATGTTGGAACCTTTAACCTTTTAGATTTGAGTGGTGGATTTCAATTTGCGAACATCTTAACCTCGAACTCGATTTATCAGGAAGAACTCCGACACTTAGAAAGCGATTTCATCATTTCAAACTTTTAGATTAATTTAACTTTGCACGTAAGGCTCATCACATGTGCAGACCTTTGATGGTGGTTGTGGACATGTAAATTTCGATGAAAATAAATGTTCACCAATGCATTAAATTTTGGTATGCGAAGGCTTACGTGACATGTACTACGTGTCTCATAAATTGTACACATGGTATTTGACTCATCAAGAGGACAAGTGTCAACATATGACATAAAGGGATTATTTGATTTTAATTAAAATTAAACAAATTAATAATTTAAATGAATTGATTTATTTGTTTTATATTTATTTAAATCAAATATTAATTGATGGAGTAAAATCACAAGTCACGAACTGACACACAAATCAAGTCCTGATTTTTTCGTAAGCAAAGTTTGGAGAGTCTATAAATAGGAGCTCCAAGAAAAAGAAAATGGTCCAGAAATCATTTCACGTCCAGAAGTTGAAGCTTTGAAACTCTAAAACTCTCAGGGGGCGTTTATTGCGTCGGACTATCTCGGACTGAACTAGTTTCAAGGACTAAGCTGGACTGGCTTAGACTAGACTAAGCTGGACTAACTTAATAAAGCGTTTGGTGCAGTGTTGGACTAAGAAGCTGGATAATAACAAATTTTAATATTATATTATTTAATATATAAATTATTAATATTTTATTATGATCTAGGTGACCGGAGATGACGAGAAGTCTATCGGGAATGGTCGTTGAGCATGACGAGGACGAGAGAAGATAGTCTTAGCTAGTCCCATGGTTATTGGGGGGTCTCGCTAAGACCTCTTAGTGAAGGGTTTTGTCCATGCTAGTCCCCTTTAGTCTCATTAATATTAGTCCTAGCATGGAACAAACATGGTATTGGACTAACAGCTAGTCCAGTCCAGTCCAGTCCCACTTAGTGATGGCAAACAAACGCCCCCTCAAGCATCCAAATTACCAAACACTAATCAGAAGAATTTCTTCACCAAAACCTTTGAAGAATCATCAAGCACCCCACAGGTGTCAGTTCTTCCTTCGCCACAAGCCAAATTCGTGAGTCAATCGTTCATCTAAGATCAAGTCATTGCGACCCTTGGATCAATAACCCCTACATTACACGTCTACACATTTTGAAGATCGAATCAGAGGATCAAATTGTAAAGATATTGTAACCCTATAAATTCATTAATACAATTATTACTCTGTACACGTGTTATCTTGTCATTTGTCGCAAGATTTTCATGTTTACAATGACTTACATAAATTTTAATTTGGAGTTTATTCCTTAAGACTTTTAATTCTTAAATTTTTAATAACAAGGTTATCTTTTAAATACCTTATTACCAAGGAGCATTTATCAGATTTAGCCCTTACAGAAAATGGGTGCGTACCGTGGAGATGCAATGGTAATAATCTATTGGATTTTTCATAGAAAAAAATTTAAAAAAAAAAATCAAACAGGTCAAAGATTGAGAGAAATGGTGAGGGGGAGGCAGTTTGAATGATGGCTCAGTTCTTGAAAGTACCCGATCGAGATCCCTTTCACTCTAAGACGCAACAGCAGCAGGCCGAGCTCTTCGATTTCACAGAGCAACAACAATGGCTTTTACACCCCACGACGCCCACAACACCACCAAGTCCTACTCCTCTCATAGTACCACTCGAAAGCCTCCTTTCATAGTACTGTACCAGCGGCCCTACTCAAGTTTCAGTCGGTGAGAGGAAAAAATGATCGACTCCACTGCTCTTATTCCAATAAGGGTATTAGTTTGCTACAACATAAATATAAGTAGTCGGTGCAGATTCCATCCAGTCGATGAAAAAAGGTCTGGTGGTGAGGTTTTCACTGGAAGTCGGTGACCTTGGACACACTCAACGCAAGAAGATTGCATGCATGGCCCTCTTCAGGATGTTGCTGTTGCATTGCATCTCAAATATATACTGCCCTTATATTCTATGGAGTAAATGTTGGTGGTGGAACCGTGGGACAATTGTGGGTCAATGCTAAATTTCCTCTATGTGACTCCTATTTTAACCCAAGTTAACATCACATATTTAGTTAACAAACAACTACACCTTCTAAGTTTATAAGGCAAAAGGAAAAATATTACAAAACCATTCATTTTAGTTTTGGCTACATTGGAGGGCATTCATTCTGAATCTTCTTAACCATGACAGTGATTGATTAGTTTTGGTGATCGGAATAGTGGTGTTTCAATTAAATTGATGATACCCCGTATGCAGGAAACATTGAAGACTACTCTCTGAGTCAACTGCGACTTCTTTCAAAGAAGAAAGTAGAAGGTCCTTGTCGAGTTTACCTTTGGAAGGGATGTGACCCGATATGCCGTTACCTGATCAGCTTGGGGCCAGGCGTGACTACTATTTTTTTATTTTTTTTATCAAACGAGAAATTTATTAGATTAGATGTTAGATTAGGGAGCCGACGGTGGGAAGGAGGGTTTTAATCCATGTTGTGGTACAAAGACAACACTTCTCTTTGTCACTATATGGTAAGGGGCCACTTGCAAGCGTGACTACCATTGAGTGCATCATAGTGAGTTTAATAAAATATCATATCTGAAGATTCTGAACTCAGTGATGCATCATATACAGTGAGTTCAATCTCATGCAAAAATAAATAAATTTATCAGAAACTTTACAAGATGCTCAAACCCGATCTGGTAATCTAACGTGGAGCCTTTTAAGCTGCACCGAGTGAAGCACCATGTGAAATACGTCGTAGGGCTTAGCTGGTAGCGTGGTTGAGCTCAAAATGCCTTCTTACACGCATCACCCTCTTCTGCAATTTCAAGTACTTTGAGGATGGAACAGCTTTCAGTATTGTCTTGATTTTTGATATTCTCTTGGGCAGAATTTGTATCAAAAACTTTCTCCAATCAAGAACATCATCAAATGGTACTGCATAGTAGTCAGAAATCAACATCGGGACACACCCTGCATACATTGCCTCCACAACTCTAGGACGTGCCACTTCAGACGCACTTGGGCAGAGGCAGAACTTGGTTTGTCCCATTAGTTTGGGGTAGTTTAGGTTCAGGGAGCTTTTCGTAAACTTGAACTTTGTCATTGTTTTCCTTCCAATGCTCAAACAAAATGTTCCTGATGTTTCCATGAGCAGCACCGGCAAAGAAGGCAAGGAGCGGACGCTTATCTGGGGGTTCTCTGAAGCAGGGCGCCCCAAGGTCAAGGGCTTTTAGGTTATATTCCGTAATGAGACGTCTGTTGTAGACTTGAATCCTTCAGAGGTGTTCGTGTTGCATACACCTTCATGAGATTCTTGTAGGGCCTAAGATCATCAGTTGAGATAATTGGTGCCTGAAAAATTAAATACATTTTAGTTGAGCATCAGCATATTTTCCTAGCTGTACTTTAATTCAGCGACATAAAATTATATTGAAGATTGACATCTACACTCCAAAACTTGAATATCTCAAAATCAAGCATATGTATTAGGGGTGAAAGGCTCTATTGTTTCTAATTTGGTATACCATCTTCCAGTGAGGACAAAATATTTAAGGTGTATATACCCTTGATGAGAGATACACATAGAGGGTGTATACTCCGATTCACCATAGTTTTAAGTTCGTGTTACATGCAATTTATCCATCTAAGTAAAAAGAAAAGAAACAAAATAGAGAATAAAAGCAAAAATCATGGCTTGGCTAGCCATACTACTGTTAATTTGTTTGCCATTTCATTCTGTTCAATATAATAATGTCATTCGCTAAAGAAGCAACAATGCCATCACGCTCGTATTTGAGATGAGAAAAGAATTAATCTTGGCAATTAGTTAATGAGGATTTGCCATATATTTTATAGAAAATACATTTCTGCATTATATATTTGTTTATGGTAATTAGCATGCATGGCAGTCCCATTCCATAAAGAGCTTGTTTGACAAAAATATATAAGGGGTGCTTTGCTTGTTGCTTGGACACAAACAAACATTTACCCCTTGATATAGGTATAGAGCAATGGCAATTGCTAAGGTGTCCATACTCTTGCTTATTTGTTTATTCTTTATGCTATTTGAAGGTGGTTTGGGTGCACAAGATCCTCCTATAACCAGAGTTCTGAATATAACTAATGACTTGGGATCAAGGATTGACTTACTCGTTCATTGCGCATTCCAAGGTGAGAACCTCGGCCTACAAACCCTCTCGTTTCACCACTCCTTTTCTCATAGCTTCAAATCTGATGTCGTCACTCCCAAGACACGACTCTTTTGCCTCTTGTGGTGGCAAAATGGCAGTGATGTCTTTGAATTGTATAACCCTCAACGAGATGATCTCCGTTTTGCAATTAAGTATTCTTGGAGCATTAGACGCAAAGGAGCTTATTCCTATGATGAGAAAAACAACCGTTGGGATCTTCTCTACACTTGGAAAAAGTGAGACAAAACTCTATATTTATAATATTCTGAGGAATAAATAACACTTGAGGAGGAGGAATAAATAAATGAAAAGTCTCTTCCCTTCTCTTAACTTGCATTCACTTATTTCTATTTCTTCTCTTTAATTCTCGTTATTAATTTTCTCTTATTTCTTTTTCATTACGTTACGTTATGCTAGAGGAAATTGAATTTTGAACCCGTACTAAAACTGAATCTTGAACTTATTCTAACTCACTCACCACAGGACTAACCCCAATGCCCTTGACTTTTATTACTTCTCATCACAAGTGTCTTTCGCAATTATTTTGTTTAGAGTAAATTTAGAATTTGCACTCGAGTTTAAAATTCATCCCCAAACTAATTTCGTTAATTTACGTTCCTAATTAAAATTAGAGAAATTTCTTAATGTATTTTAAGTATCTACAAATCTTACCTCTCTCTCCATGAGATTTTAAAAGAATTGAATCAAATTTTTACATAGAATTTTAAGATTATCTTAAATTCCTAATTGAATACACACTTAACTTTGTTATTAAAAAAATGTAATCTTCCGAATGTGCTATCACGTTTATCAGATTTAGCCAATCCGGAAAATATGTGCATACCGTGGAGGCGTGAAGATCCAATGGTAATAATCGTGGAGATCCAATGGTAATAATCTAGGGGTGTGTATCCTCACACCCTTTGTTAATTTTGGTCTATTAATTTCTTTTAATTTATCCGATCATACAGTTGAAAATCAAAAAAACGTGGGAGAAGTAGAAAGGGATTTGTGAATATCGTATTCCATAATCTATTGGATTTTTTCACAGAAAAGAAATAAAAACCAAAGTCAAACGTGTCAAAGATTGAGAGAAATGGTGAGGGAGAAGAAGTTGAATAATGGCTCAGCTCTTGAGAGTACCCCCGATCCCCTTCCCTCGAAGTCTAAAGACGCAACAGCAGCGGGACGAGCTCACTTCGATTTCACATAGCAACAACAATGGTTTTTACAAAACACGACGCCCGCAACACTACCAAGCCCTCCTCCTTTCATAGTACCACTCGAAACCTTCCTATAATCCTCTTCGACATCATGGACACAGTTGTTCGTGACCCCTTTTACCGCGATGTCCCTGCCTTCTTTGGGTAACACAAATTCTCTTTCCTTTTCTGTTTTCCTCAATTGGGTTGTGTTTTCTTGCTGTTGGTTCAACTGGGTTGGATTATAATCGAGAAAAGATGAGAAATTTATTAAATTTTACTGGTTTCGATTTGGCATATCAACATCTCGGCTGCAAAACAATTATCGGAATTTTCGAAGTGAATCTTAGTTTAAGAAAATTGGATGTCTTGGAATGGTGGACTGTTCTGTATTTTCGAGAATTCCTGTCCTGTTTCTATTTGAAATCACACTGTCCCAGCTAATGACAGTGAGATTCTATGTGCAGAATGTCTTTCGATGAATTAATCGAATGCAAGCACCCGACTGCATGGATCGAGTTCGAAAAGGGGATTACTGATGAGGTACACTTGGAATTGGTGTTGCAAATTTATGTTTAATTGGACTGTTAAGTGAAAATCAATATATGTTTGCTTGGCAATTTGGCTATGATTGCTTCCGAGAAGCTTTTGTGAAAAATAAAAGTTTGAACTTAAGTTAAAGTGTATAGTTTTGTTCAGTTTGAACGGAATTGAACGAAAATTATACCTTCGAAGTTTGTGTGTTTTGTCCTTGCTATAGCATGTCAAATTTCTGTCACAAAATTATTTTACCCCAGGTGGAGCTTGCAAAAACATTCTTTAAGGATGGAAGGCCTCTAGATTTGGAAGGTCAGTTGGAGTTCCTCACTATTTTCCAGCCATGTCTGCGGTCTTTTATGTAATTCAAATACTGAATCATTCGTTAGTTTTAACTTATTCCTTAGCCGCTAGAACAAGTAAGAATGTACTTTGTCCGACTTAAAAATGCTTTTCATGTTGCATCTTTTGTTGCTTATAATCTATTGTGTAAATGGTTCCCTTTCGTGCTTGATGAAGTTTGGAACTGATAGTGAAAAGAGCAATGGTTTATGTACTGTGGGATTCGCTTTTTTTTGGGAAAGTTTTATGCAGCTTAAATTGTTTGCCATGTCAGTGTCTTTTCCAGTATGTATCCCGAATTACATTTTTCTTGCAAAGTGTAGATACGTTGTACTGATTCCAAAATCATAAGTTATAATAGGAATTGATAATTTCTTTTATCTCCGTCGTTATGTTTGAAAGCTTTATCAGAAATTGCTTCTGAGCGACTTTCAAAATATTCTTTTGTCAATTGTATTGATTGGAGATATTGAAGAACTGAAGTTTGTACTTTGCCATGATTACGTTCTCATATAATTTGCTTTTATCTATGCGCTCTACTTCTGAATCTTACAGGAAAGTGCTTCATTGATCTTTGCAGGCCTGAAAAATTGCATGAGAAAAGGATACTACTATGTTGAAGGTGTTGAAGAATTGCTTTATGTATTAAAAGATAACAACTACGAGATGCATGCTTTCACAAACTATCCCATCTGGTTAGATGAAAAATCGACGATCTTGTTTTCTTATTAAGTCAAGCAATTTATCATGTTTTCAGGAAATTTATTTTGTAGGTACGAGATGATCGAGAACAAACTAAACATATCAAAATATTTATCTTGGGAGCAGCCTCTCCATAAATGGGGGTAAGGCTAGCCGACATTCACCTCTCCCAGACCTTGCGTAAAGCGGGAGCCTTGTGCACTGGGTACGACCTTATCGACCTTATAAACGGTACGTTAAGTGGTTTGACACTACACATTTTGAGATTCTCTTCCATCTGCTAGCTGCACAAGCATATCTACATGAACGTCTCAACTCTCTTCCTATTCACTTTTGCGTTTCAGGGAAGAGGAAGCCCAATCCAGAATTCTATTTGGAAGTTGTGAGCCATCTAAAAGTTGATCCGGGAAGCTGTATCTTCGTCGATGACAGGTTTGTTACGACACAATTTTCATTGCACTGAAGTTCTTGCAGCATTTCGTTTGGTTGGTTACTTAAGTTCATCTAGAGTCTCGGTTGAATTCAACACGTTGGTCTATGCAAGCTTAGTCGTGTCGTTTCATGGTTTCATCACAGGATAAGAAATGTAGAGGCTGCGAAGGAAGTTGGCATGATCGGTCTACATTTCAAAAATGCAGATTCGCTTCGTCAAGATCTTTCACTGATGGGGATTGACATTTCAACGAAACAAACCAATCTTCAACAACAATAGTTGTCTTCATCGTTTTATGTGTTTCATTTGTCATTTATATCAAATGTTTTTCCAGTTGCTTTCTGGCTGGGAATGAAGATTTTCCCAGAACGAAACTAACTTTCTGATCAACTTCCAGATAGCTGGATTAACAATTGCTGAAGATAATAAGGCCTTCATTATTTCTTCATTGAAACTCATTCGCGTGTGGGACTAGTGTGAGGTTGAGTGAGACCAAACATAAGGGTTCATCTTTTACAAGGTGTGTCAAACGATTGATGTGATCCGGCAATCAAATTCAAGCATTTTCCCACATGTAAGAGAAACTATTATGTCAATGAAAAATATTTTACCAACCCAAAGAGGAAACCTATTTTCTGTAGCAATTCTACAAACATTTAACTTCTTTTCTATACTAACTTGTAGTCTTGTATAATGATGGTTTAATAATATTCATTTTCACTTGTAAGTATAATGATGGTTTAATAATATTCATTTTCACTTGTAAGGACGAGGCTTCAGGTAGCAATGACATAATAATTATATTATTGAGTTTTCACACCTAATTTTGATTAACTCTTGTGTTACTTAATCGAATACCTTCTACCGAGAGTCAAATATCCCATTGAGTTAGAATAGGATATCAACGTATTAAAAATAAAAGTACTTATTTTTTTACTACTAATATTATAGTTTAGTAGTATTCATTTTCACTCGACAAGTTGTAGGTTACTCACAATATCATTGTCTCAATGAAAACTTACCATTTCTATTTTTCTATTTTTGTTTACAAACAATGGCATGAGTGGGTTAATATGTTAGTTTTTAGGGAAGGAGGGTTGGTGAGGATGGTGTATAGACAACATCATTTTCGACACTGCAATAAAACGTCATCAGCAAAAAAAAATTCGTGTATTTTTTTTTTCAGGTGAATATTTGCTCATCCTAAAAAATAAATAAATTCCGCAACCATAATATAGACCTCATCAGAGCGCCCGACTGACTGAACCTTTTCCCTCATAATTTTGTGGCTGCCACTTCTTGGAAATTTACAGAGGAGAGAGAGAGAGAGAGAGAGAGAGAGTTGAAGAAAGAAAGCAAAGTCTCGAAAGATGTGGTGTGTTGGGGCCTTGGACTCAAAAACCGTAACTCCGTCTGCCTCTATTCCTCTTGCTGGAGCTGCGAGCAGATCCCCTACCAATTCCCTCGCTTCACTCCACTTCCACGGTGCCTCTCGGCGTCCCTGCCCTCCTTCCGCCGTCTCTCTTTCATATCACTCGTCCTTCGGACCCAAGCTCTCTTCGAAGAAGACCCTCTCATTCCGATGCTACGCCGGTACGCCACTCACCTTTCTCTCACTACTTTTCTGCTGTTTATTGCTCTGATTCTGCAGTTTGATGTCTGCTTGTTGGTTGTTTATGTTGGGTAAATCTAGGCAGATTTTCTTGTGAATTTCGAGGTTTTCGGATTTGGGTTGTGTTTAATTTAGATGAATTTGATGTCATTGAATCGGTATATCGAAAATTAGGACGCTTCTTGTTGGACGATGATTACGAGAATTGATGTTTTGGTTAAATTCAACATGTGCAGAAGTAATTGTTCTAGTAAAATAATTGATTGGCAGTAAGATTGATGCTAAATGTATCAACTTGGAGTCCTTTTTCTTCGAAAAAAGGAGACGTTGTTTGCGAATTATTCACAATTATCGTGAGGATCTCGGTTGGTGTCATGCTCTGATGAATGTAAATATTTGATTGTCGAATAATAGATGTAAAATCTTGGTCATGAAACAATTTTATGTTTAGTTTAGGAGAATGGCATTGGTTCAATGAGATTTGGATTCAGGAGCTATAGACCCAAATTTATGAATCTTATCTTTTGTCTTGATATGTATGATTATGCGTTGGAGATGTAAACAAAGAGAATGAATGAGAGGGTTGAATCGGAATCAACCCTGTGGTTGGGGATTGAATGGATGTAAAATGTTGGATCTGGTATAAATTGGATAGTTGAGCAGCCCATTGCGGTTGTTAACTGTTGTCCAAAGTGGCATACTTCTTTCAAGTGATTGTTACGTTGCCTATTAGCGCGATTCACTGTTGTTTAAATTGTTTGTCGAACAAGGCCTTCCTTAGCAACTGGTCGAGGAGAGAAGATTTATCATTTATGTACCCGTTATTTTAAAATTTCGGGATTGGATTATAGTGTCGGAAGTTCTTATAAAGTGTCCACATTTTTGAAGTTTCACAAGGTACTAACTCTCTCATCCCCCATCGCTCTGCCCTGTGTGTGCAGCATTAACTCCGGAGCTGAAGAACACATTGGACAAAGTTGTTACTTCACACAAAGTGGTTCTTTTTATGAAGGGAACAAAGGATTTTCCACAATGTGGTTTTTCAAGCACTTGCGTACAGATATTGAGGTCTTTGAATGTACCGTTCGAAACAATAAACATACTAGAAAATGAACTTTTGCGCCAGGGATTGAAGGAGTACTCGAGTTGGCCAACATTTCCTCAACTCTACATTGAAGGAGAGTTTTTCGGAGGCTGTGACATCACTGTTGGTAAGTTAACCTAATTATTATGTATGTGAGCTTTTTAACTGCAAACTCGTGGTCTACTCTTCGTCTTCATAGTCACATAATCAACGGAATTAAGTACAATGAACTTGAGGATAAGAACTGAGAGTTAATGACGGACGGAATTAGGTTGATGTTTCATTGACGGATAAGAACTTGAGGATATGAATCTTGACGAAACAATGTTGTTTGCAGATGCATATAAAAGCGGGGAGTTGCAGGAACTATTGGAGAAGGCAATGTGCTCGTAAACCGTTTATATGAAGATATGCAAAAGGTTTCTCTTGTTTTTATGGTGAATGGAGGTTTATGGATGTTGTGGAAGGAGGAACGGAACGCGTGACTTCGGGTGCTAGAAAAGTGCTTATAAGTTATAACCATTCCTTCTGTTCGGGCTTGGGACGAATTAGAACATTTTATTTGAATCCAATAAACAATGGACGATATCAATCTCTGTAAACTTAAACTGTTGTTAACATCGCAATTAACGTATAAACATAGCCACATTAGCTAAAGCTAAAACGATTGTTCTTCCCTATGCATTCGAGTTCGAACAATTCATTGCCAAAAACTCCACGAGGATAGAGTGAAGAACGTATGCATTTTTTGCTTTCCATGTTCAACATTCTCTTTTATTTTAAGAGCAAAAGAAAAGAAATTTGGGGCGGGCAATTGAAATTACCAAAAAGGACAAGAGGTACGTGGCAGGATATCATTGGTTTGTCACGTTGGCCGACCCTGAGATGGGTAAGACTATATTGCTTAATGTCCTCCGACAGACGCAAGTACGACGATAGATTGACAAGGGAGGAACCAACCCGCGACCAGACACCCATCACCGTTGAAGCAAATCTCAACGAGGAGAGAGATTTCCGTACTCTCTCTCTCTCTCTAGACTCTAGACTCTCTCTCTCTATACAGAGACCGAGAAATTCCTGGAATTTGATTCAATTCTTCGACAACATGAGTTTGACCCAGTTCGCCATGGTATGTTTTTCGTTAGCTTTAATGTTGTTTGTTGGTTGTTCTTTCGATTTTACTATGAATTTAGGAAAAAGTTGTGTAATTTTTAATGATGCTCCAATTATGTGTTCTGGGTAGTCCCTTTTTTTTTTATAGAAAAAAATTGTGTTTAATTTCTTGCTTTATGAACTAAAAATTATAAATTTTGGGAGTTTAGCGCTTCAAAGTTCAATTTACCTATCACTCTATTTGAAATGTTAATGATTTAAGCTTTTTAATTACGAAGCGAAATTACTACTCTAAACTAGGAAGCAGGGGCTGGGGAGGGTTTAAACCCCGAAGGCAGTAAGCTTTATATCAAACCCCATGTAAGGTTATGTAATTTTAAGAGAGCTGTTGCATAAATAATTTCTTCTGCTAAATCTGCACATTGACACCTCTGAGAGAATTTTAGAAAATAATATCGAAGCATCGGAAGATTAGACCAATCTTTGTCATTTGTATACATATGATATGCTTTGAGTGCGGGAGTTCGTGTTTGAATCTCGATATTTCATACTAGAATGCTACCGAAATGCAGGTTGAGGAATTGGCTTCTCTTGTCAAAGACAATCTTACGTGCAAGCATCTTATTCTCTCAGTGGAAGAGTCCTTGGTGGACTTCCTTCAGAGTGATACCAGGCATGTAAGACAAACTCCTAATGTTATTAGCATTGCCTTTTCTTATGAGATTAGTTTTAGAGTAAACTTAAGATTACATTGAGCAGGAGTGATGCAATTCTTTGTGGTATATCTAGGGTAAAACTGGAGAAGTCGTTAGTTTCGATTGGTGTTCTGTAGCATCTGGTTGTGCGTGTTACAGATGTTTTCGTCTTTTTTCTTTTTCTGCTGATCAGAGTAGATTCTTGTTGTTTTGATGTCGACCTTAAGATTATTGGGAAATCCTATGAAGTTCTTTTGTAATCACTGTCTGTGCTGTGACTACTAATATGAACAAAAAAATAATAATTTGGGTTGCAGTTCCAGTGGGGTCTTGGAGTTGGAACCAATGAACTCATACAACCGTCTTCTGTTGCATCGTCTTGCAGATATATTTGGGTATTCTCCTTTTCTCCATCATATGTTTTGTATCATATCTTTCCTTTTCGTTGGTGGGTAAATAATGTTTTTGTTGAAGAATGTTGTAGCTCACATGTTTTTGACTTCTGTTGGCAATCATTTATTGCTTATGCTAGGTTTTCCCATGAATCTGTTGGTGAAGGAGAGGACCGGCACTTAATTTTGGAGCGCTGCCCAGAGACATCAATGTATGACCCGGAAATTTCTTTACATAAAAAATTTCTTTACTTGCTGCGCCTATTTGCTTATAAATCATGATGTATGATGTTATGCACAAAATATAATTACCAACGCTTTGTTGGATATCTTGCATGTTGACATGCTTTCTTTCACATTGTGGGACTGAAAGACATAAGTTGAAATAAGACATGTATTTTGTCTTCCAATCTGTACTTATCAGACTCCCAAGCCTTTCCATGAGCGGGTGTAGATATGAGAAGATTGTCTAGTTGATGAACAGTATGGCAAGAAAGATAGAAAATGAGCACTCTTTTATAGATGGTAGAGTGGGATGAGTGGGGACAGTTGAAATTAATTTTGAAAACTGTAGCATTGGAAGTTGTAATGGACTGGTTAAAGGGTTAGGGTACAAGAGCTGGAATTTCGATGTAATCATGCTTTTTGATATATGGCATAAGAGAAACTTGTCTTAGTAGAATTCAACGCGTGTAGAATAGGTATCAGATTTCTTCAAACTGAACTAAGCAACATCAATATTGTTTTTCTTTCTGAATTTGAAGTCAACAAACTAACGGTGATTTGGGTTATGAAGGTTGAGGATTGATAGAGCTGATTCTCAGTCGAGTGTCCTTGTTTTTCTTCTGTTAATCAGTGTGTTTTGGTTGCAGACCTTCTATCCTTGTTGGTGATATTTTGTGGCAGTATGATGAGCCCAGTTCTCCAACAACTTCACACCTGTTATTAAAGAGGACCAAAAGCCCCCCAGGTAATGCATTTCCCTTATTTTTCCGTTCTGCTGTATCTTCTGCAATAATGACGCTTGATAGTAATACAATTAGTATCGTTCTCATGCGATCATATCCATATTGCACTAAAGGAATATTGTTGGTGTTCATATTATAAACTGTAATTAAATGCCCCAGCTGCAATAAGCAATTGTATCATATGCTAGTTTTCTTAATCCGTATTAATTTCAAAGTCGAATGTTGTAATCTTGCTGTCTCATGCTATGCTACACATGGTTAGATATCTAGTTTCATAACAGATTTGGTCAATCAGTTCGGTTTGATGTAGGCTATGTAGAAATCTGTTTTTTTTATCTCCCTATCATTCTCTTATCCGTGCTAAATGAAGCCTTTTGTTGTTTCTAGTGTTGAGAACAAAACCACCTTTACTCCAACATTCACTTGAGGAGAGAGAAGCAGCTTATTTGGCTGCTCGAGAGCGAATATTTTCAAGAGACTTGGGCGAGGTAAACGAATCTGTCAGGCAGAAGCCACGTAGTGATCCTGTTGTTGCCCGCCGGATGATAGCGCATGCACTAGGCCAGAGAATCAGTCCATCCAGTCAGGGTTCTCCTCACGAGGATTGCAAAGCTTCTGGAGGGCAGACTGATGAATTACGTGTTCAAGGCAATGTTGTAGATGAGGCTGATTTGACCGCAGAATCTTTTCAGCATACAGTCTCCCTTTCGAACAGAGATATGAACTCACGTGGTGAAGTGAAAAACAACCACCGTAGTAATAGTGGCCCAGCTCTTACCCGAAGTGAAAGGAAGACATCCCAGAAACAAGGTGACAATAATGGAAGAAGTGGACATGGTGTAGATGAGGAATACATCAAAAGGGAGCAGGTGGGAGCAGCAAAGAGGATGTTTGCTAATGCATTGGGAATGCGTTCAGGGAAGAATGGTTCTCTCTCGAAATGCAGCGAGATAAAGCATGATAGCACGGAGTAATGGTTGAAGTGTTTAGAAAAGTATATCGGTTTGCTGTTTCATTCATATTGTACCCGGAACACATCAAGCACCGGAGCATCTTGGATCTTCAGTCAAGTGAATGGTTTACGGACATGTGTTGAGAGTTCTGATGCCATGTGAGGAGATGCATGTCAAAGGGAGGGAAGCCTTTCGGGGGTGGAATGCTGGTGGCTGCTCAGTTCTGTATGGATGGACAAAGATTATCCTCATAGCCAGCCGATACAAGCAGCAGATTCTTAAGCGCCTGCCAATGTCGAAAATAGGTTGTGTTGATTATGGGAGTCCTCTTGTATTTGTCTTACATTTTCTCTACTTCTCAAGCAAAAGATCTCTCGAAAACTCGAAAAATTTGTGTGTTTTAATAGAAGTGTAAGCTATAACTCACAATTTTTAATCAGTTTTGCGAATTCCTACAAAAACAATCACGATTTATTTTCGTGTTATTTCTGCATCGTAAGCTTGTTGAAGTTCACGAAATTCTCAAGAGGCATTTCGCCCGCCGGAAACATGTTCTAGACTCGATTATGAGAGCTATATATAACGAACAGTTCTCAAAATTTTTGACAGAACAAACTTAAAACCTATTTTCTTGTTATTTTCGATGTCCCACAAGTTTCTTCACGTTCACGTCAAGAATTTAAGGAGGCCGCTAGAAATCGGTCCAGGCATGACCAGATGGCACACCAAACCAATATCGTTGTATAAAAAAAAAAATTTGTATTTATTAGTTGTTAGTGGGAGGCACTATTCTAATAATCCGCATTAGGCGGCTGGCCACCTCCCTGATTAATCTCTAGGCGTTTGAAAATTAAGAAATGATGTCTAGACCTGCTTAGATGTCTGCCTAGACGCTAGGCCCCAGCATGCCACCCGACTAGCGCCTAGAGTCTTTTAAAACCTTGGTGGGAGGAGAAGGAGTGGCGATCGAACTCACATTAAAGTATATAGGCATGACGAGTTTACCTTTTCACTCAACTCTGCTGCTTAACGTTTTCTGCACGATGATGGTTTTACAGTCGCTCTGTACTTGCATGGTCACTCGTGCCAAATATATGATGCGTAATCGGAGAGTACAGTTTACACTCACGCATGCAAGCTACGTTTGGGTTTCTGTTACAGAAGATGAGGATTTTGTAGCTGAAGAATGGAACAAAGACTGCGCAGCTACTAATTTTTCCCTCAACATAACGTTGTACTCGTGCAAACTTCTAAGACTCTTTTGTACATCAGACATATCCATTTCAGAAGCATCCTTCAGTTCTGCAGTGAAACACAAAATTTAAGGTAAGCACGGAAATCGGCAAAGAGCGCCAGCATTCCTGGTTTTAAATTGAAACTCAATGGCTGCATGTATCTGAAGTTTACACTTCATCTCAATATACACCGTCGGAACCATCAAAGTTTGTACTTCATCCAATCATTTCACCAGAGATACAAACTTAAAAAGCAAAAACTCCGACCTTGAATGGAACAAAAAAAAGATGGTAGCCCTATACAGCTATACTTCATGAGTTTAGCTCTTACCTAGTGACGGTGGTGGAGGAATGATATCATCGATTGTCGGAGTTAAGGCTTTAGGCGGGGAGGAATCTTCTTTAGACGCACGAACAAATTGCTGTTTTCCATCCTCTGTAGAGCCAAGCGATTCCATTTGCATATGCTGAAGACATAAGGTTGAAAGAGATATACAAAATTAAAATGTCATTCACTGATGAGTGACGTAATTGTAAGAAATACAGCATTTCGAAAGACTCTGTATAGATGAGTCGGAATTCTCAAATATTGATTTGAATTCCCAAATTTCGGGTTTAAGAAGAGTGACTCACAGGTCTGACTGCTGAATGCGATGAACTTTCTTCTGGGTTCGGTGTGGTTCCCGGTGTAAATGATTTCATACTCCCAACAGTGTCAGAGCACTCTTGAACCAGAGTCTGCAAGATCAATGAAAAGTTAAAAATAAAAATAAAAGGGTGACTTTCTTAAAAAGAAAGCACAAAACATTATGAATAGAACCTGGAAAACAGGTTCCTGTGGAGCTAAACAAAGAAAGAAACATAGAACATTACCTTCTTCTTAGGCAAGCTGAGCTTCCTGTTAAAACTAATCGCCGTTTCTTGTTGCCTTTGCTTATGTGATGATCCATTTCGATGAAATGACTGTGTACCAAAACTAACGCAACCTGATCCCTTGTTTATGTTCTCGTAATAATCATCCAATGCCTTGCAGCCCCATGTATACATCACATATTTCCTCAACTAGTTAAAAGCACATGTATCAGTGAGTGTTATTGTATGAATTTAACTAAAATAGAAACATTTGAAAGGAATTACTTTATCCCAGTGGTCTTGAGCTTTTCGCCGATTTCTGATCCTCCGCAACACGATATCTTCATTGCGGAGTTTTTTTATCCTGAACTCACACTACAAAAGTAAACAACAAAATTAGGAAACCATGAACATAGTTTTTTCACCCAGATTTTTGCATTAGGCCTTCTTCATAACCTTTATAATCGAACATGAACATAGCAATGAATTAAAAAAAATTTAAGATCAAGTGACGTACTTGCACCAGAAGGCACAAAAAAATGCCAATGCAGATGCAATACAGGCCACCAAGATCCGCAAGGAACCTCACTGCATGTCAAGGTAGACAAAAATATTAGATAATCAAAACTTTAACTAAGATGTAGTAGCAAGAAAATCATTCATCTTTTTGGAGTCGTTTTCATTGATGTAGAATACTCACGAGGACCCAGAATGTTTTGGTTATCTATCTCCACGATATAGGCAGAGAGAAAGTTGACATACAATGTACTGTTGAGCATTCCATCCTTGGAATTTTCAAGGGACGCTCGGAGCTGACTTGCATCACTGAAAAATGAACCCGGAACAAACTCATGAAACAGAGGTTGGATGAGCCTTAGATCATGATGATTATGGTATATCCGGGGAAATAAACTGAATTTTAATATATTTGTAGTAGTTCCTCTGAATGTAACTGGTGTATCATCCAAACTACTCCCATTCTTTAGGGTTCCGCTAACAAAACTAACATGTTTTTTGTTAGCATGACTCCTTGTACTGAGAGTGAACTGAAATCCAGCAGCAGCAGCAGGATTATTAGGAAGATCGACAAACTGCCATGAAATGTACAAATTGTCTTGAATTGGTTGACAATTGCTGCACCTAAGATTTATAGTTGGTCCTATACTCGTATTCTGACACGAGTAGTTCCCAAATGTTGACAGAGGAGCCACTCTGTAGTCAATGAAGCCAGGATTTCCAGTAACTAAAGTACCAAGACCACGTAAGTTTGAACAGCTCATACTAGAAACCGTGGTTATGTTAAATTCCATGTCAGTCTTGAAGGCGGCCAGATCAGGTGCATTTGTTGCTCTAACGTTATGCACCTCGATACTTCTTTTTGATATGGTTTTGTAGAGCAACCTGTGAAGAAACTGACAATCCAAGTAAATATAAGCTAATTTATAGAAACCCAGAAAAGATCTGCACAGCACAGCTAATAAAATCAGCACGAAAGAACTGATGATTCGAAAAAAAAAATTAATATCATAATACTCACGCAGCAAACAAACCAATGAAGAGAATCCAACTTGCTATTGAGAACATTCCACCAAGTTCCGTTTTCCGTTTCTTAACTACTTTCTGATCATCCTGTGCCAGAAAAGAAGCTAGTTAACATCCATTTGCATAACTTGAGATCGCGATGGAACACAAATCTACTTATAAAGCTGCCATAATCTAATAAAATTGAATGTCGAAACTACATTCAACAAGTAGCCACATAAACAATCCACAACAGATCAGTTCTCCAAATAACAAGTGTGCATATGATGCCTTAGTCTGGTTTCTTGGCCTAGAAATGTTCTTAATTCTACCATATAGACTCAAAGAAACCAAGAACAAAGAAGATAAAAGAAGTTCAGATTCATAAACAACACTTCTTTTTCTATTTGAACAAGACGATATTCGAAGGAAAATGATAATCACACACTCTTTTTCTTCCCTACACACCCATGTTTAATTCTTTTTATTGTTTTCACTTGATTTAATTAATCCAATGGCCATAAATAAAGAGGAGCGTATAGGTAGAGAAAAATAGCGTGTGATTATTATTTTTTTATTCGGAATTACTCTATTCTACGGGGGGAGGGAGTTCGAAGTTAGTGATGCAAAAAGGCGGACACAGCGTCCTGACCAACTAACCTAACACACATCCATCCGCCTTTTAAAGGCTGCATAATTTGCATCAAAGATTTAAATAACATCAATAAATAAAAAAATGGCTCAGCTAATAAAAGATGATTAATAAATAAATAAATAACTAATTACCAGCCAATGACTAGTGGCAAAGCAAACATCCAATCTGCTGATCCACCAGCGGAGCCGGAACCAAATGCTCCGACCATCGTTGTCGAGCTTCATAAACCTGAGGAAGAAGCAGAAGCAGAGCCAAGAGAGCAGGAGCACAAGCGTGGCCTCCAAGAAGACGGCTTGGGATTGCGTGAACTTTTTGATGGAGTCAAAGGAGAAGATGGTCTCCGCGAATCTTATGGCGTAGCTGTCGACGCCGCCGTCGGTGGAGATGGTGGAACTGGCGGCAAACAGGACGCAGCTGGCGGCGGTCTGGTTTAGAATGTACCCAACTGCGCAGGCGCACTGGCTGCCGTTGTAGCTGATGCTGTTTGGCGGACATGGCATTCTTTTTCTTCTTCTTCTTTCTTCTTGTTTTTCAGAGAGAAAGACTGGATTTTTAGAGAGAGGGAGAGAGAAAATTTATATGTTTTATTGGTGGAATAAAGCCGAAATAATTTGTGGGGTTTGATAAGGAGGAACAAGAAAAGTGAAAGTTATGTCTTCCACCAAAATCACCTAATCAAGTGATTTAGATTTTTGAAATTTGATTAAACGCATAAAAATAGAGATTCTTTTAAAAGTTATAATAACTTTAACCGTTGAATCAAATTTCAAGGAACTAGATCAGTTGATTAGATAGGCTTAATGGAAGAGATTAGGAGATAATCTCTTTCCAGTTTGTTTATATATGGAGAGTACCGTTGTGATGTTTTTGGTTTGAAACTTGTGTTGTGAAAATTGATGATTTTGTCCGATGCTCCCTCAAAATTTATGACCGAGCGGAGAGTTTAAAGTAATGATGATTAGAAACAGTGTATTTGTATTGTATTGTATTTTAGTTTGATTTTATTTTTTGGGTTAACAAAGAAAAGAAAATCGAACTCGGAATTTGAAGGTGTAAAAGTAAATGTTTTTAAGCAATTGAACTACAAATTCGTTGCGAAAAGTAGAGTTCCCGTGAAAAACAAAGAAAACTTTGGAAAAGTAAGGTGGGTTGGGTTGGATGATACTTGTTGTGGTGCTTTCTGAGTCAAACTGCAACACCTACATGTGTGTGCTAGAATGTGTGTGAGAGAGAGAGGGTATTGAGTTGGGTTGGGTTGGAATGTGATGAGTTTTTTTATAGAAAAATTAATAAAAATGATTAAAAAATTTTGAATTTTAAACTAAATAAAACGTAAAATGAATAGTATAGAGTAAATGAATAGTACAAAGAGGGAGAGAGAAGCTAATTCCTGAATGATTGATGGATCCACCACCCATCTCTTTCTTCTTCTTTTTCTTTGTCTTTTCTTATTATTATATACTATTCTCCCCTTTTTATCATCAGAGAAATTTTTAGTTGTGACGGAAACATAAGTGGTATACCACATATTTTAATAGGAGTAGTGGAAAATTTTAGCATACATATCCCATCATTTGTATAATGACATGTGATATACCACCCCGTGTACCGGTCACACTGAAAAATCTCTCTTTTTATCAAAGCAACTTTTGAATTTACAAACCATTTTTAATTAATGGAGTAATGCTATCTAGACACGTGGAGTTTGACACGCTTGTTGAATTACTTTCTCGTAGAATTAGCTCTCACATACAATAATTGAGAACCTCAACAAGTAGGCCAGTTTATCACATTCAAAGAGACCTCAACAAGTACGCCAGCTAATCACATTCAAAATATCTTGAGACATATAATGCCGGTTATAAAAATTAAAAAAAAATTCATAATTGTCAAATGATTATTTTTATTTTTTTAAACAAACGATATTATCTATACTAAGAAAATGAGATAGTCTAATATGATTCAATAAGTTGTTTACTAAATATTATTTTCTTCATTTTTAATATAAATTCAATAGAATGAAGATGGAAATTGAAAGACCAATTTTATTATATGAATTCAGCTACTACTTTGATTGGTTTGACAGAGATTTTTTCTAGCATGATCTAAGACTCTTCATTTACTTCAAATAGTTGACTTTCTTTTTTGTCAATTCACGCATATAAATACATTTAAAACTTATAAGTCGTGTGTAGTACGCCGTAATTTAAAAAATGCATTCCGTACGTGCCTGAGCGAGTGCCTGAAAGCCAGTAATAGAAAACCTCAACAAGTACGCCAGTAAATCACCAGGGGTGTTCCAGTTAAATCACCAGCACTTCTATTTGTTCACTTTTGCTCTCCTCTCCTCCATGTCTTGGGGAATCGTTCTTGGGGCTCTAAAAGAACTTCAACGTGCATTTGCGACCAAAGAGTTTCAAAATACTTGCGGCGGAAACTCTCTTGAAACCAGTCTAGCATTTCTGTTTTCAATTCGCTGGGATTCTCCTTCCAGACCTTTCTTAACATAGCACAACTGTCTATCTTTTTCACTCTCAGCTTGGCCAAAAGATTCCCTACGCGTGCTTGACCTGCTGCCTCTGGCCTTAAAACAGTAGCAGGAGGGGCCGCCATAGACTCGACAACACATCTTAAACATGGCAGCACCTGGCCGTTCAGCAAACCATAAGCAAAAACAGATACTCGGTCTTTATGGTCTTCAATTGGATCAGCATGTAGTGGAAGCTCCCACAAATGAGGACCAAAGGCTGGAACGACATAATGTAATACTCGGTCATTAAGAGGCTCATAGTAAGGTTTGGTATCTGTTGGGGGTGCCGAGAAAGTGCACAGAGACCGAGCATACTCAACAAGCCATTCTGTTTTTACACTAGTAACACCGTGCATGTAAGGACGTCTTGTCTGTATCAACTCACTGTATACCAGAAACTCAGGGGCTGAATTAGAAACAGATGACCAACGGTGGAGAAACACTCTCTCTTTAAGCATGCAGGCTTGATATCGAACTGCATGAACTTTTCTATCTCCTTCAGATGACACTGAACTTCCTCTAATGCGTTTCGCCACCCTATCTGCCCAACCAGCACAGATAGCTTGGCGTAGGAGCTCTTCCTCATACAATGAAAGAGGGTTCTTACCGTGGGAAACCCTCCAAACATGTTCAACATCTTCCCGACTTCCAAAAGTCCATGAAAAGTCATTCTCGCCACCACAAACACCACTTTGATTAAAGACAAGCTGGAGTAGTTGCTTTCTCAGCTTGGACATTTCCTCCATTGTTTTCGGGTGTAGACCATTGGCATTACAGAATTCCACTGGGCTCTCTGCAAGTTCATAGCACTGCAAAGCAAAAGCTACGGACAGAGCATCGCTGCTGGGATTAGAAAATTTTTCACGGAACATTTTCACAGTTTCTTTTAGTTTCTTCCTCCCCAACTTCTCTAGCTTGTCTATAACTTTAATGTTCCCATCCTCGTTTAATTCATGGCTTTCTTTGTGGCTATCTTCAAACTGCCTGACAAAAGGATTTGACAAACTCAAAGCAGCAGCTGCTGCAACTGCGTATGCTAGTACTAAATTAGCTCCGGAACTCTTCTTCTTACTCAGGACTTGAATAACAGTAAGGAGCATCCTAGAGTGGCGAGGACTCATGGGGTAATGAGCCATGGCCCTCCCTAGAGGTGTCAGTCTTCCACCTTTGTCAAGTGCTTGAAGAATCTTCAAGCAACGCTCTGCTTCATCCAAGGCAGCACCATCTGGAGGAGTTGGAAATGGAAAATTGGATACCTGGATGCCGAAAAAACAAGGTCATATAGTATAACACCAGTCCAGGCGTAAAAGAGGAAGCATACATAAGACCATATAAAACATTATTACCAAATAGCATCAATATAAAAAAAATTAATATATTTTCATGTGAAACAAAACACTGCCTAAAACCTAGTAAGAACCATCCAAAACCATGAACAAAAGAAGATGGACGATACATCTACAGCCAATAAGATACCACACTTAACCCATGAGGTCAGTATTGTCAATTTTTATGCATAGTCGGAGAATGCACATGAAAATCTTGTGAAGTTAAACCATGTGTCCACCCCCCACAAATCAAGTTACTGAAAAAAAACTTCAAAATGTTTTATGGTACATTAATATCCTAGGGATCAGTATATGTCTACCCCCACTGTTGTAAATTGTTAACATGAAAAACAAGACAGCTAGAAGATTATAAGAGATATAGACCTAACACTAAAACACATTTTGCACCTACCTTGTCAATATTCATGGATTTCATGAGAAGGACAACACCATCCACAGGGACCTTAGATATTTCAGCCAGAGAAAAGTCAGGAAATATGTTACTATATGCTGCAGAAGAATAAAGACGGTAACAGTGGCCAGGCCCCGTTCTTCCCGCTCTTCCTGCACGTTGAGAAGCTGATGCCTTACTTATCCACTGTACTTCATATGTTTCCATGCCACTTGAGGAATTGTAGTTCTTCACTTTCTCTTTTCCAGTATCGACAACATACTTTATCCCAGGTATAGTTAAAGAGGTTTCAGCCACATTAGTGGCCACAACAACAAGACGTTCTCCTTCCTTGACTTCTTCAAATACATGAAGTTGAGCTGCCGCAGGCAGCATTGCATAAAGAGGGAGAACATGCAATGCACCAGGAGAATTATTATCTTCAAACCGACACTTTTTCCCCATGCTAGGATTGGGTGGGTTGTAGCAAGAGTCTACAGTATCTGAAATAGGTTCTTTCACATCAGAGTTGGAGTTTAAAGAAGTTTTTCCAGCTAAAGCTTCAAAAGCGGCTTTCAGTGACGCAATTCCCCCCTCCTCTCCTAAAACTTCAGAAACATTACTATCATTTTCAGGGATATCATGGAACAATGAATCACCATCCTCGCCAAAACTTTCCAGTTCACTCCCTGTTTCTGAATCATATGAGGCATCCAACTCATCCTCGTCTATATCATACTGATCTTCATCAATAGAGCTAAATCTATCAGTCTGATGGCCCTCTGAACTTCCATGAATCTCAAACGCTTCATTAATCTCCTTCATGTCTATTTCCTCAGCAGAATTTATCTCAGAAACTGCACTGGCATCACTCCTGTTATCTCCTTTAGATGTTTTTATAATCTGTGCCTTTGAAGCTCTACGCAGTTTTTGGCACAAGTACTCTACTTCCCTCTGCCCAGTGACAAAGACAAGTATGCCCCCACGTGGCAGCCTCTTGTGAATTGCCAAGACTTTTTTATATGCTTGCTCAATATAATCCTTTTCCTTAGTTCTCTTTGAGAAGTGAATGGATACAGGAAACTGTCTGGTGGGAACTTCTATAACTGGTGGGGGATCATGAAAAAGCTTTTTACCAGAAATGAAGTCTTCCACTCGCAAGGTGGCACTCATCAGAACAAGTTTCAATGGAAAAATCCGTTGATCAGGACTTATAGTTCTTCCTGAAAGCATTTCTTTTTGCTGCTCTGCATATCTTTCCTGCCACCAGATGCAAATCAGTACAACAAAAGGGTCAAAAACCATGACTAACAAAATTCTTGGCAATAAACATTCTTGAGTTTCACCTCGCGAGTACGAATTACACGTGAAAGCATTCCAATAAGTATGTCGGTGTTCAAGCTCCGCTCATGAGCCTCATCAAGAACTATGACAGAGTATCGCTTCAACAAAAAGTCATTCTGTACCAAAAAAAAAAGAGCTTGCTTTAACTACGCTGAACATATATTGCAGAAACGTGACAGCAAAAAAAAAAAAAAAAAAGGGATGGAAATAGATCCCAAGTAACGATCAATCCTTGTACAATTGAGAAAGGGGGAAAACCAAAACCATTACATGTTCAGTTCAGGGCTTAATAAAAGTGGCCCATTTGAACATCTTCATGCAAAAGTATATTGTGCAAATAATATTTAATGATCTAGTAATTCCATCCTCATGGTTCAATAGTATGTATATAAATATATACATGCATGTTTATCATATACTGCAACTTGACATTAATGGCTTCATTCTTATCCTTTGTTGGCTTTTTGATAAGATGAGAGAAACAAAGCAAGGAATGTGAGCGAGGAGAAGGGGGTGTTACTTTCAAGCAAAAAACAGGAATGATATTGTTGGTCTGATTCCATTATCTAAAACCATCTGTTTATCATGTTCCCTTCAAAACTAATCCTCCACACAGATGATGTAACATTATGTGCAAATAATTTGGCCCAAAAATCCTAATCGCACACGTGCACACACACAGAGGACAAGTAGCGAAAAAGTAATTGTTTGATGCACAGTTATTTATATCATGATATGCATTACAAAAAACTGCTTGGCTATTGAACCTGAAGTTCCCGTAGTAATATTCCATCTGTCATGAATTTGATGGAGCAACTTTCACCAATCCTTTTGTCATACCTAACTTGAAACCCAACCTCTTTACCTAAATGAAGACCAAGCTCATATGCCACACGCTTAGCAGTAGCAAGGACTGCCACACGGCGAGGTTGAGTAACACCAATTATACCACTTCGTACAGAAGAGGAGCTAGAACCAAAGCCAGCTTCAAAAAGAAACTGCAATATGTGAACCAAAATGTAGAAATTAGGAGAGTAAAGGAAATCAAGACCAAGCATACACAGTAATGATAAATATAAAAACAATAATATGGAAATAAACCTACCTGAGGAACTTGGGTGGTTTTACCACAACCAGTCTCTCCACATATAATAACAGTGGAATGGTCATTAACAGCCTCCATTACCTCCTGCTCCATCATTATTATAGGGAGATCCTTCCTTGTGTTTTCAACTTCCTCAGGTCTTGATACATGGACTATGGTTGGGGAAATTAGAGGCCTCAGTGCAGGAGAAATTGATGATTTACTCACCCTGCTGACATTTGCTTTTGGTGTCTCTTTTATGTGGTCCTATCCAAATCCATCCCCAGGTACAGTTAGTTGGTAGCAGTCATATATAAATGAATGTCAGCCGGAAGATATACAAAAAATTGTAATACCACAGTTCTAACTACTGTTAGACAGTAAAGTATAGCATGTTGATTGTGTCTTGCACATTGTTAGTTTGTTACCCTTACTACTTATCCAAAATCCAATGTGATATCGGATTGATCATAGGCCGTTATTTGTTTGTTCCTGTTTTTATTCTCAACTGAGAAGGAGGGAGTATCGCTCCAATAGAATATAAGCCCAAAGAGCAACAAAAATTTCCCTTTTAAGATGCATCAACCAATAATGGGATTTGATGTAATCAGTTAGCAAATGAATAACATGAAGAAAAGATACTTTGAAGAACTCATAATATGATGAAGAGAAACATACCGTCTTTGATATTTCATTATCACCATTCACACATGAAGTGGGAGAAATGTTTGTATCTTGTTGCAAAGACATTTCAAGTTTGTTGCTAATAGCATTTGTAATAACTGATGAGGCAGCAGCAGTTCCGCCATTGACGCCTTGCCCTCTGCCACAAACTTGACCCTGAGATGAGTCCAATGAAAAAGATGTCTTCTTTTGGATTTCTTTTTGTAATATCTTCGACTGCACCAGGTCATTTTTGCCAATATCCCGCCTTGATTGAGTTTTTTCTACCTCAGGTTCACTTTCACTAGAAGTTTGGTCACTATCTACCTTGTTAAATGGTTGGGGGTCAGTCATGAAAGCTTCAAAGCCAGCTTTGGAAAATAGTACGGCCTTCTGACGTTTCTCCTTTTTAGACTCAACCTAAAAACATGGTAATAAACAGAATGAAACTCCTATTAAGAATGAAAAAATGCATCAAAATTTGATTAAATTGGCAAATACAAACCTTGCCAATATTCTTTGAAGACTGCAGAAGAGAATATGCAGCCTCTGGAAGCTCATATTTCCTGATAAACGTAAACAACACAAAATTAATTTCATCAAACCCCATCTGTATATCAAACAAGAAGAGGGGGGGGGAGCAAGGAAGGTATATATAGGCGTACTCTAAGGCCTCAATGCTTTTGGAGATTGAAAGGGCTTTTTCCTTCTCATCCTGGAGAATTAAAAAACAGCAAACCATTCCAAATCCAAATCAACTTAAGAGAAAACCGAAATGGAACAAAACGAAAAATGTACAGATACATAGACCAACACACCTCCAACTTCTTCAGCTTCCTTTGCTGGGATTTGCTAACCATTGGTGCTTTTGATTTATTGGGTTTTCCACTCCCCTACGGTAAAATCAAATTAAGCGAAGAACGAACCAAAGATCAAAACAAACCGAAAACGCAGACAGATAAACCAACGAACCTCCAACTTCTTGAGCCTCCTCCGCTGGGATTTGCTAACCGTTGGCGCTTTTCTTCTTTTATTGGGTTTTCCACACTCCTAGGGTGAAATCAAATTAGATTCAGGAACAAACTAATTGGAATTCATTGACAGAAAAGAAAGAAAGCAGTGATATCAGTAAATTAATTTCAGTTTTTCACCTGATTGGTGCCCTTCCTTTTGTTCCTTCTCTTGGCTGGCAATACGAGGGCGTTGCTATCTACCCCGCCATCTCCCAAGCAGAGTTCCATGGTTGGTTCGTCGACTTACCTGCCGGCCTCTGCTTCACGCCACAGCCCCGGAACGACGGTCGAACTGACGTCGCTGATTTGATGTTCAATTGACAGGGTTTAGGGTTCAAGTAGTCATGTCAATAACAATAGTTGCCCATTAGTTACTTTAGTCTAAAGAAAGCATTGCCATTGGCACTGTTCTTTACTGTTCATTGTACCTGATTTCAGTTTATTTACAAGATTGCCACTCAGATGCTTTTAACCAGCTTTCTCTTAATTTACACAATTGCCACTCAGGCTTGAGGACCTATCTTCAGCCGTTCGCTGCATTTCAGCTTTTGACTCGGCGAGAGAGGGGGGAAATCACGGCTGACAAATTAGAGAGAGAAGATCGCTCCTATTTTTGACTCGGAGACAGCTGGGTGTGCCTGTGGCGAGCGGAGAGAGGGGGACAGAGCGACTACAGAGGAGGGAGACACAAGGCCTGACAGATTGGAGAGAGATGGGAGCTACGGGTTTGGACTGAGTGTGAGAGATATTTAGGTAGGTGCTCTGCCAGGACTCTAGATTTTTGCTCTGATCATTTAGGATGAGAGATTTTCTCCCATTTTAGAGAGAGAGCTGGACAGGAGAGATACAGAGCGGAAAGCATGGGTGTGTGTATTCTTTGGGTCTTCCGAAAACGCTAGAAACCTAAAACATTCTCAGCTGCTCTGCAACGGGTTGGCGACTTCGATCATGCGTCCTACAGTCTGCATCGATCTCTTCCATCTCTGCTTCGTGATCCCTTCGATCCCTGCTTCCTCATCTTTTCGATCTCTGCTTCACGATCTTCTCGCCCCCTCATCCTGCACCTAATTTCTCTAGCCTTCAAGAGGTAATTAAATCTCACTTCTTTCTCTGATTCGTGCCTTATTCTCACTGTTTTTCTCGAATTGTTTGTTTTTCTTCGATATTGTTGTGTTTCGATCCCAAATTTTTTCATATTTTAAGAAATCTTATTTCTGGTATCTGATTTGTGGAGGGTTTTTAATCCTTTTAAACGTGGGTTGTGGGTGTTTTGTCGAGGGAGCAAAATTGATCTGGTTAGGCTTTTTCCCCTTGAAAATTAATAGATGTTCAAATTCGGAACCGTGAATTATTAATTTATTTGTTGTTGCACTTCATGAAAGCGAGGCAATCATGGTTAGATTTCATGCGGTTCATGAAAGACTCGGTCAGGCTTTAGAAGGTTTGCTTTATGAGCTTTGCCCATCAGATGAAGTTGAGGAACATGTATATACATATATGTCCCTTTTTTCCGTTTTCAAGCTAATGCTTCTCATGTGTTATTTCATTTTTTTCACACAAACAGATCTTTTATCAATTCAAACTATTCTCGCTTTGCTGCACACGTTTGATATAAGTCCGTTTGGGTTTGACGAGATTCAGAGTACTTCTTATCAAATTGGTCGCACGGACCACTACAAGGAAGACATCTTCCAAACCCTCTACATAGCATCGAGGTAAATCCCACTTCTGCTCTGCTTCACAAATTATTTGTATTTTTCCGTAATATATTTTGATTTCTAGAACTGTAATTTCAGATTATTGCCCCTTCGATTCCTCTCCCACTGCCTCAAGCCAAAACCAAACCCAGCTCCAACCTCCAGTCCTCTACAAATCAAACCTCACAAAGTAAAGCACTCTGATTTCGTTTTTTATTTCTGGTCCAGTAACCTTAGGTAAAGCAAAGAACTGTAATAAATCCTCATGCATGTGGTTCTTTTGCAGAATCCGATATTGGAGGTGATAAGTAGCTGGTTTTAGCTTCTGAGGCAGACACTTGAAGGAGCAAAGATGAATCCATTAGTGGCAACGAACATAAACTTTAAGTTTGCTGCTTGGCTTTTGGGATTGGACTTCAAGCTTGAGAAAAGTTTACTTATACCATTTAGGGAAATCAAGGTAATTTTGCATATAATCTCCCTTTTGTATATCCCTTACTCTTAATTATAGGTAGATTTCAGACCCTAAAACTAATGTGGTTATTGAGTTTTCTCCTTTTGTTGCTTTTGAACTATATACTTTGGTGCAGGTTGAGTGTACTATGCCAAAAGACGATGGCAGTTTGGCTTCATTTATTGGCTTCAGGGTTCAACATGACAATGCTAGAGGCCCCATGAAGGGAGGAATCAGATATCACCCAGGGGTATATGCATACTTTGTTAAGTTCCACTTCTACGACAAATGTGAATGGTTGTCATATATCAAGACTCGCTGCCGTGAAATTGTCTTTAATTGTTATCGATCCTTTTATGGAAAATGTAGGTTGATCCAGATGAGGTGAATGCTTTGGCATAGCTGATGACATGGAAGACGGCGGTAGTCAACATCCCATACGGGGGTGCCAAAGGGGGTATAGGATGTAATCCAGGGGAGTTGAGTCTTTCCAAACTAGAGCAACTCACCAGAGTTTTCACACAAAAGATGCACGATCTTATCGGAATCCACACCGATGTTCCAGCACCAGATATGGGGATAAGTCCACAGGTTGAGCACGCCACATTTTCCATTAATTTTGTTCAAGAGATTTGATTACAACAGAATTTGGTTATCAAGTAGATCAGCTTGAATGTCCGAAAAACTTTGAAACTGTATTTTAACAGTTTTCTCTTTCTCGATCTTTTCAGTTTTTTTTATGTTTAAACAGACCATGGCATGGATACTAGACGAATACTCAAAGTTTCATGGCTACTCACCTGCAGTAGTGACTGGAAAACCTATTGTAAGTAAATCATGGAAATGTGCTTAATGGTTTGCATTGGTTGCTGTTGTTGCATAATGGTTTGAATCTGTGCTTAGGTTAGTTTGAAACTCAGGTTGTGTGAATTAAGGTGTAAAAAATGAATATGGATGAACCTTTAGCTACTGCATTTAGATTCAGTTTTCCTTTGCATTTCAGTGAGTTGGAAACTGAGTGGAACTGTTTGAGAGAGAGAGAGAGAGAGGATGATGTTTGGATTTTGGTATATGCAGCCCTACTGTAACTTTTTATACACACTGAATACACTTACCTTTTTTTATATGCACACACAGACTGCATACACATACAATATACACACACACATCACACACTTATCCACACAGAGTACACACACATTTTATATGCATACACAGTACACACACATGCAATGTCACACAAACACTGTCATGTACTTATACACACACAACACATACAATATATACTCACACGCTTATGCCTTTTTTTATCACTTGGAAGATTTTGTTGTTTTTCCTCAGCAATACAATATACACTCACACACTTATGCAACACAAGCACTCACACACACAGTACACACATTGTTGTTTTTCCTTATTTGATTATTGGGATGCCAAACTTTAAGAATTTGTGTTTAATTTGATTCTTTGGTATACTCAGTTAATTAGCTAAGTAGTGGTTTACATTTAGATAATATATATATGTATATATATGATTTTGGACTGTAGTTTTCTCTAACTTAATTTGTTTTGATTCAATGGGTTAGTGAGTTAAGGCTGTTCTTAACTTTCTGTTTCCTGATTGAATTTGTTTTGATTCAATTGGGTTAGTGAGCTAAATTTCAAAAGGGGGGGGGGTTTGGTTTCCGAATGCCTCTTATGGGTTGTGTATGAGGCTAGAGGATTTGAACTAAACCACGCAATGGACATTCATAATAATGTGCAAGTAGGTATTGCATATACGCTTAATGGTTTGCATTGCTTGCTGTTTTTGCATAATGGTTTCAATATGTGCTTAGGTTGGTTTAAAACCCAGGTTCTGTGAGTTTAGCGGTTTAATTGGGGGAATGAAAAATTAAAGTTGGCCTTTCATTGAAGATGGTTAAACAATTGGAGTTTGTTTTATTAGAAAGATGGTTAAACAATTTTGGTTGCTCCCCTTTTCACTGTGGCTCTGTTTCAACCATTACATTTCATACATTTGAAATCTGTTTACTATCTCATTAATTGGTGTACGTTAGCTCATTTAACTCAAATTTAATGAGATTTGGTACTCCAATTTCTCTGATTTCCTAACATATTTACTTTCTTTGGAAATTTCAGGAACCCTGATTATGGGAGGAAGAATACGCTTCATTGCCATCTTTAGGTATACAATTCTGCACACTGATTACATGTTCAAAGCCTAATTAATTGTACACCAATTTTTTATTACTTTTGTAAAGCTTTTGTACTTGGATTTAAATATGTGATTAGTTTGTGAAGAATAAACGAGAAAACTAATCATGGGGACATACTTCTTTTTCGATTTTCTCCTCTGCATTGTTTCTTGACTGAAATTGGATTCATGGATGTAGGGATACAGCAACGACTGAGGTGTGAATAAAAGGTCTAGGCGTAACGATTTCAGGGTTTAGAATTGATTCGAAAATACGAGAAAATGCTGCATTCTCTGTTCTTTTTTGCTGTTTGCTGTAGTGATTCCAACTTAGTATATACCCAATTTTATAGAACCATGAATGGTGGTTGTTAAATGTTGAGCCATTTGACAATCCTTAGTTCTGCATTCCTTGATTTTTTTTTGTTGTTTCAAGTTTGAACAACCTTTCATGTTCTTTTCTGATGGTTTATAATTGTATATTTGCAAAGATGCATGGCTATTAGACCTTCAATTAGAGATCATCATGATTGCATTGTCATAAGACTGAAGCTGTACAATTACTATTTGCTAAATATTATTTATGTCATTTAATTGAGGTTCGTGTAGAAGAGGACTTAGGCATGTTGTTAGTGTAGATTTACATTTCTTATTACTTTCGTGCCGTATTTGATTGTAAGTCATGAACAAGCCAATGTTTTTCAAACTTTACAGATGCCTATGTTCACATATGAATTCTTTTCAAAAAAAAAAAAATGTTCACATATGAATAATTTGGCTTATGGACATTAATGTTGTAAGCAGATATGGAAATTGTTCAATCTATTGAATATCTATTTAAGGTCTCATTGGTTTAACATTATCAAAACTTCTGCATATGTCTGAAGTTTAACGAATGCTTATGTATACATATAAGCTCTGAAACCGATGGAATTGTTTTCTTATTTAGTAACCACCGTGTGTGTGTATATATATATATATGTACATATGTATGTATATGTATATGTATACGTA